TACTTTTTAATGCTTTTGCTGACAATTATTGTATTCAATGTATATAGTTTTTGGCATACTTTATTACTTGCTAAAAATATATGTAACATAATATTTCATTGCATGTAATTTTATTATGCCTTTATTTGTTTTTCATTTCCAATAGTTTCTAAATTACATTTTCAATTGATTTCCGTCATATAAAACACATTTTTGTTATTTGAAATTACTATATTTAATAAAAATGCACAATATTTTTGAAAAAAGCCATAAAACAATAGCAAAAAAAATATGTCTCAAGTATTGTCTTAATTTTATTCATATGATTCAACATATAATAAAACTTTTGGTGACAAATATTTTGTTAAAGCGTAAATAATATAATAAATTTAATGTGCAATATTTACAAATGCTAAATTTAGCCAAGCAGACAAAAAAGTATAATAAATATATGTGATAAATGATTTAGTTTTTTCATGTTCAGAAAATCAATGCATTCGTAATGTTTAATTATTAAAACAAAAAAAGTGAATTGGGTCGGTGACTATATAATGACTAATTATTAGCAACTAGTACATTTCTCGGTGTATCCGTTTTATCTTCCTCCGGCATAACTTCATCCTGCCCCCGAATTCTAATATTATGCAATTCTTTGTACTGATTTATAAGTTTGCCTTTTTCCATTAAATTTTTATTATAAGCTTCTATCACTTTACCGAGTTGTTCTGTATTGTTTATTAATATTGGAAGAACTTCTTTAACAGTCCGTTCTGTTAAAATACCACCAATCATTCTGAAGCATTTTCGATCTGGATCCACTGTTTTTAATTGTTCGATAAACAACTTTATGTTCGTTTAGATCTATTTCTAAGGTGCTCAGTTTGGATGCTAAGCCTCTTTGTTCAGATCGGAGTCTTTGAAAGTTTGCTATGATTTCTTCATTTTTTTCTCCACCCGCAACTGGGGAAACATCGGGCTTCTTTAAATTGTCTTGGGAAGTTGATGGCGGCACCGTGGAGGTTTCCATTTTATATAACACAATAACTAGAAGAAAAATAATGGATAACAATAGAACATAGAGATAAATATAATACATAGATCTTATTGGTTCTTTTAAGAACAATTTAAAGGTGAAAGATGGATGCAAAGATATAAATATTTTGAGCATAGTTCAGGATTAGCATATCTAATAGTTTATTCAGTTATTGCGTTATCAAAACTTTGTGCAATTTGTACAAAATTTATTTGAAATCACTCTGAAAACTACATGCAAATGAGCACTTCTAACAAAAATGTATATGTACATATATAACTGCATAATCTATATATAAAGATGAAAATAAGGTTATGAATCGATTTTTAAATCTGCAACCTTTAACACAAACTTATGAATTATTTCATAAACTTTTTCGCAAGCTGCACAATATTAAATTTAAATTATCTTCAATAAATACTTACCTAATTAAATAACTATATTTTAATAAAAATGTGCCTCGCGTGATTTACTGGTTCAATGTCTTAGCGGTTCTTTGTCGTTTTAGATCTGTGTAAGCAAACTTTATATAAAAAAACCATTTTGAGCTATAAGATTATGTAGAATAACAAGGTACTTACTTATATTGTATTATTTTAACCGATCATATACACATTTTTGACTTTATTTAGTTGATTTTTATTATCTATGAAAATAGAACATGATGTTCCATGACATTAGACAAGAGGACAACCAACATACTAAATGAAAAAAACATGGTGGTGGCACTGATGACAAGTTGACAGTTGACAGACACTGATTCAAATTCGGATATCTAATAAAGAAAAGTTATATAAGTGCGTGAAATTTAGTGAATTTCCTTTTGAAATTGACAATAAAAAATATATTTACTATTTTTCTGTATTTATAAACTTGTTTCAAACAAATTTTTGCGAGAAATGAAAGATATGTAATCATAACCTCAAACTCTGAAGTGCCATTATAATAATTTGTGTCAAAAGTGTACAAGATGTAAAAAAGTGAACGGAATAATAATGCGATTAAACTATTAAATTAAACTACTCAATGTTATGTTATAAGTTTAAACTACTACAAAAATGAATTACTTATTATATAGAAACATAACTTGTCCAGTTATTAGAACTAGTATTAACCAATATATTACATTACAAAAATCATTTATTACCCATGCAAATCGAACCTTAAAAAGAACATTTCACAACTCGCCATCAATATTATTATTCAATCAACGGAACTTTTCAATATCTTCTATCACTCGACAACAGCTTCGAGCTTATGATGTAAACACAAATGTAACAAAAGATATAATTTTATACAAATATGAAAACCCGAGGTTTTTCACATTGCTGAATGGTTTTGCTATTTGCCAATTTGTGTTCTGGGTTTACTTAGGACACTTTGCTTACACTTGTTTACGAGATGCTCCTTTGTCGGAACAAGCGGGAGATGTTGCGTGGTGGAGAAAAATTAATTTGGGGGAGAATAAATATAAAAACACTTTGGCTGCGCTTTGTGTGATATTAGGTAAACTAATAATAGAATTATTTTAATTTTTTTAGAAGATATTCATCAGTATTTCATAATTTTTAGGATATGGTATATTAGGTGTATCCTGGGTGTACACATTAAGATCTGTCCGATATTTGATATTAAAAAAAGGTGGAAAATCTATCAGCTTGGTTACTTATAGCCCAGTTGGTAAAAGCAGAATACTGACAGTGGATTTAAAAAATGTGTCTTGCAATCAACCTAGAGAGCATTCACTCGTACAGTTACCACTTAAAGTTAAAGATAAATATTTCTACTATTTACTTGATATGAAAGGTGAATTTAAAAATGTT